CCTGTAGAGGGGATTGAAGCCAGCTTGCTTTTTGGCCACCATTTTGAATTGAAAGTCCCTTCAACTCTCTTTCTAATACCTCCTTCCTTCATCTCCAGCACATCAAATATATACTTCCTATGTCTTTATCTCCCAACATAGTTACTTCTAGTTTTGGTTAGATGAGTATTGTGTTTGTACTATCATCAATGTACCAAGTTTTTATTGAACTTAGTAAATAAAAAGCTATTATTGACTAAGACATTTAACAGGATCACTTTTCAGTTGTTGCACCCTTTTTGTTTCCTGCAAACTAATTATACTGTTTTTTCATGTGCTTAGTTTTCTATAGTTTTTCTTGATATGACCAAACTCTCCCCTAGCATGCCTTTCATTCATTTATGGATATTAAGTATTTAATCTGTTTTATCAGCTCAAAAAGTCCCTTCCGGAGCCTGCTACCATGCTCTAATCTAGAGGAGCTGATCACTAGGCCTTCTGCACAACTGTTTACTTCCACCTTCATCAGAGTCTACCTTTAGCCTTTGTTACTGGACACTTATTTTCTAGAACACTCCGTCTTGGTTTGTTGTCTTTTTTCAATGGAGCTTCCTCAGTAGTTTCCTGAGAATGTGGATAGGAGGGAAAACTTTTTAGACTTGGAAGGTTATTTTGGCTAGAGACAGAATTCGAAGTAGGAAATAATTTTCACTCTAAATGTTGATGTCATTACCCCACTGTCTTTGAGTTTCTAGTGTTACTGTTAAGCATGATACCATGTCATTCTAATTATTTATCAAAGCTTTTAAAATCGATAGTATATTCATTGCCCTGTGTCTTTGTGGAAGTCTGTTTTCATTTATTAAACTGGGTACTTGGTCAGCTCTTTCAATCTGGAAGCTATGTCACTCAGTTCTAAGAAATTTTCTGAATTATCTTATTGATGATATTGATAATTTTCTTTCTTTCTTCTTTTTTGAGAAGGAGTCTCACACTGTCACCTGGGCTGGAGTCCAACCTCCACCTCTTGGGTTCAAGTCATTCTCCTGCCTCAGTCTCCCAAGTAGCTGGGACTATAGGCGCCTGCCGCCACGCCCAGATAATTTTTGTATTTTTAGTGGAGATGGGGTTTCACCATGTTGGCCAGGCTGATCTCAAATGCCTGACCTTGGAATCCACCTGCCTCAGCCTCCCAAAGTGCAGAAATTACAGGCATGAGCCACCGCGCCTGGCCCCTTTCTTTTTTAAAATAAAATTTCACTGTTTCTTTGTAGAACTTCCTTAATTGGGTGTTGGACCTCCTGGAATGATTTTTCAGTTTTTAAAACCTTAATTGGGCCAGGCGTGGTGGCTCATGCCTGTAATCCCAGCACTTTGGGAGGCCCAGGCGGGTGGATCATGAGGTCAGGAGTTTTAAGACCAGCCTGGCCAACATGGTGAAACCCCATCTCTACTAAAGATACAAAAAAATTAGCCAGGCATGGTAGTGCAAGCTTATAAACCCAGCTACTCGGAAGGCTGAAGCAGGAGAATCACTTGAACCTGGGAGATGGAGGTTGCAGTGAGCCGATAATCATGCCATTGCACTTCAGCCTGGGTGCAAGGGCAAGACTCTGTCTCAAACAACAGCAACAACAAAAAAACCTTAACTGTCCTACATTTTATCTCTTTGTGTTCCTTTCTGGGAGACATCCTCAACTTTATCTTCACACTCTTAAATTTTTTTTTGACATCTTTTTTAATTCTAAGAGCTTTTTTTGTTTCAGAATATTTTCTTTATTAGTATCCTGTTGCATGAGTATGTTATATTTTCTTGTTTATCGTTGTGCCTTTTGTTCGTTCCTTTTCTTTGAATAGCCTCTGTATCCTTGGCTTGTGTTTCTCCAGTTATCTCTGGGCAGTGTCCTTTATATTGGAGGCCTTCTTCATAGTCTGTTAATATTTTGTTTAGGGCTTATGTGTGAGAGTTGGAAACTAAAAAGCTGATAGGAAGATTCATTTGTGTGAGTTTCATTGTTTCTAGACTTTACCGTAGAGTGTAACTGCTAGACTGTTGTTTCTTAGAGAATGTCATTATCCACAAAATGACTCTTCTAATTTCCTGCCCGAAGAAATAATGGCATGGTAGCCAGCATTCTGAGTGCGAAGTGATGAAAAAGCTGGATTTGTATCAGTATTTAGTATGTAGACTATAACGGAATCTCAACAATGCCTTTGTACTCACTCATGCCTACTGCCCAAATTCCCTTTGTTTTATTCTCATGGTAGGGGGAACCTCTAATCTGCTTGTGTAGAGAAGGAACATTATCTGGCTAGGCAGAGACAGAGAGGAATTAGCCTCTCCTCTACTTTCAGAATACCTGGTGCTGCCAATTTCTGAGCGATTTAGAGTTTCTGCAGTATAATTCAAGTGGCTCTCAGCTTTTCTCATTGCTGACTTGGGAAATTTTGTTTTCCTAGTCAATTATTAGGAAATTTAGCTATTAGGTTTTTGGTTTCTTGGTCTCATTGTTATTGACTCTTCTTCCATTCTCTTCGTCCTTGTTAGTTTATATCCCTTTGTACCTTTTATTTTCATGTTAGTCAGGTTTTGAACACAATTTAAAGTTAATGGGTGCATTTAACATGTCAGCTTTGCCTAGAAATTGACATTTATAGGACTATACTCTTCTTGTCAAATAGTTACTTTTTTATTTAATCATTTTATTGATGAGCTTGATGTTTCTTGTTCTTTATCTCTGTTTCGTAAAGTCAACTTTAGAAACCCTTCTGCAAACAGATTATCTATTTGAAAATAAATGAATATATTCTGTCATCCTTCAGGGTGTTATGAAATTTAGTCCTTTGAGCCTTCTTACAGCATTTATTACAATTAGTTATTTACGACTTTAAAGTAAAGTTTATTTCATTACAACAGGGAATAGAAAAACGAATCAGAGTAAGCAAGAATCCACGCAGCATAGTAAAGTTTGTCACCTCATTAACAATGAGGAATTTACTGGTATTTTAGTGCTAGTCTGTTCTAGTCAACTTCCTCTTTGCCTTTGATTTGTTGACCCATTTATGCTTTTTCCCCTTCTAACTTCCTTCTTTCCATAGTTAAATCAAATTTGCTAGGAAAAGCTACTCTGTCTCCTAGATTTTCTAACTTCTTTCTTTCCATAGTTTAATCAAATTTGCTAGGAAAAGCTACTGTGCCTCCTAGATTTTATACAATTTGGATGTAGAATCCCTTTTAGAACCAGAAGTGCGTTTAAGCGATCACTTCTTCAAGGTGATTACCCACAGAAGAGGGATGCCTAAATCATTTACAAAAGGTAGTTTATCTATATTTAATGATTTCTAGGAACAGGTGTTCAGCTTCTTCAATGGCTTGTTTCAGTTTTTCTCAATGCTATGGTGAAATTCTTCCTCATGTCTCTGCTGGGATGCAGAGGTGACTTGCAGAGGGCAGGTGAGTAAGGAAGTACAGTTTTTTTCCAGAAACGAATAGGATGGGGATAATGAAAGAGAGCAAATAGGATACAAAGAAAATTAACTAGATTTAAGGTAAAAGTTGATGTGAAATAGAAGCAGATGAAGAAATTATAATGGAGGCAAGGCAGGACTGTGAGCTTATGTAGAAATGGAGACAGAGGATGGTTTTATATTTATTATCTGTATCTACTATTTAATACTAATAATTGTTTTCCTTAAGTGTGCTAAAGGAAAAAAATCACAAGGAATAGAAAGATATTTTTCTTTTCACTTGATAGATCTTAGAAGCAGTGTATACTCAGCTCAAGGTAGATTCTGTACAAGAAAGCATTCAACAACTCTGAAGCATTGTTAGGTCTCAAGCTGTGGAATATATTGATTGATCCATACTATCCGTGAAAGTTTTCACGTATTAGTGTGCCTTTTGGGAGGAGAAAGATTGAAAGAGGGGGTGAATGTTGACTATCATGACACTGAATAAATCCCTAGACAAATGGGTTTGCTAGCATTATTGGGAATCTTAAAAAAAAATCAAGCAGAATAGCTAGCCAAGCAGATTATGCAGAAATTATCCATGAGTCAATTGAGCTTATTTCATCAGTTGGTTTAAAAAGAAGTTAATTATTATTGCCATTTATTCTCCTTTTGGAATATTTTCTCAATTTGGATTTTTTTTTTTTTTTTTGAAATGATAGTTGAGTTTCATATAGGGATTACTTAGGAACTAATATAAAATAGAAAACTGGAACAGAAAGTAGAATATCAGTTTTTTTTGTTATTTCACAAAATTAAGTGCATTTTTACCTAGCATATTACCTTAGTTACCGAAAAAAAAAAAGAGCTTTACTCAAACGAAATGGTAAATACTGAAAAAGAAGCATTTTTCTTTAAATAAAGTTTCAAGTACCTGTTTCTTAAGTTACTTACTTTATTTAACACTGTAATTATTTTGGTTCTGTTAAATAAAATCTAAATGTAGTTTTGCCATTAAGCATTTTAGATGTTTATGCCAGAATTCAATGTATTTGGAGTAAGATGTTAATAATACACAATTAACTTCATTTCTTTCTTGAACCATTTTGTGTTTTTTGTTTTTTTTTTTCAAATTTAAAACCTTTTTGTAATGGAAAATTTCAAGGAGGAAACCTAAGTAAGGAGAATAGTCATCACCCTGCTTCAGTAATTATCAATTCATGGCCAGTCTTTTTTTAATCTCACAAGTTGGCTGTTTGGCTGATATCACTTCAGAACGCTCTGTGATTAACATATTTTAAAATAAAAAAATCTTATAAATTGATTGGCTAGTTGAAACCTTTCCCCCCCCAAAATTGACTTTGTGTTGTATTCTAACATTTAGTAAAGACCCTTTGGCCATGTCCCAGGTATATAGCATTTTTGAGGTAGACCATACGAAAATATAATCATATTTTCTTCTCTTTTGTCACTTCTTAAAGGCAGAGATTGTTGTATAGACTTAACAAACTTAAATATGATTTTTAAAAAAATGCAACAGTAATCAAAGCTATAAATATATAGGATCTTACCTTTACTTTTTTCTTTTGTCTCTAAGACTGGTGTGCTAATGGAAATTTTCCTGTTTCTTCTACAGCATTAATAAAAGTATATCGTCTGATTACATTTCACTTTGTTTTAACCTTTGTACCCAGTGAACAGGTAATTAAAAAAAAAAAAACTAGACTTCCTTAGCAAAATATTGACTAGAAGAATAATTTCTTAAAGTCATCTTTTCCTTTTTCAGTGTAGCAAGTAAGGCTGTTTGCCTAACCTTTGTGTTTCTGTTTTTTTTCTTTTTTCTCTCCTTTTTTTGAGATGAAGTCTCGCTCTGTCACCCAGGCAGTGACACAATCTTGGCTCACTGCAACCTCCGCCTCCCGGGTTCAAGCAATTCTCCTTGAGTAGCTTGGATTACAGGCGCCTGCCACCACACCTGGCTAATTTTTGTATTTTTACTAGAGACGGGGTTTTGCCATGTTGGCCAGGCTGGTCTCGAACTCCTGACCTCAGATGATCCACCTGCCTCAGCCTCCCAAAGTGCTAGGATTACAGGTGTGAGTCACTGCACCCAGCCACCTTTGTGTTTCTAAATGACTCTTAGAAAATTTTATTAAAATATTAACAATTTTACTTGTTGATTTAGCGTTTACAATATTGAAAATGAATACTTCTGAAAGATATACTGTTGCTAAATTAATTTATGTTTGTCCTGAAGGTATTTTGTGCTTAGAAAGATTCAAATTGAGGTAATCCCAGCACTTTGGGAGGCCAAGGTGAGAGAATAATTTGAACTCAGAAATTTGAGAGCAGTCTGGCTGACTTAGCAGGACCTTGTCTCTGCTCAAAATAAAAAAATAAGAATGTTAGTTAGGCATGGTGTTGTGTGCCTTTAGTCCCAGATACTTGGGAGGCTGAGGTTGGGGAATGGCTTGAGCTAAGAAGTTGGAGCCTGTAGTGAGGCATGATTGTATCATAGTCCAGCCTGGGTGGAAAGTCATGTGGTGTCAAGAAAGAGGAAAGTTGAGAGAGAGAGAGAGAGGGAGAGGGAGAGAAAAGGAGGAGGAGGAGGGGGAGGGGGAAGGGGAGGAGAAGGAGGAGGAGGCGGAGGCGGGGGAGAGAGAAGAAAGGAGGGAGAGAGGGATTCAAATTGTGGAGAGAGGGATTCAGATTGTAAAGGTACTTGTATTCTGTTGAGTTTCAACTCTGTGGTTTACTTATTTTTATGACACCATCATCCGTGGAGGAGGGAGAAGGGAGGGAAGGAGGGAGAACAAAGGAGGGAGGGAAGGATTCAAACTGTAAAGATACCACCAAGTTGTATATTCTATTGAGTTTCAACTTCTTGTTTACTTATTTTTTTGACACCATCATCAGTGGTTTTATTGCCAAGTTGTAACAGGAGCAAAGTGCTCAGAGCATCAAAAAGACCTGACACCTGGACATTATATGGCCTTTAGGAAATCAGTTGACGTTTCTTATGCCGTAATTTCTCCTATGTAAAATGGAATGCTTTACTACAACATTAGTTCTCATCTAACTACATTGTGGGAAGAAACATTGTTGGTAGTCAGTAATCAAGTTTAAAATGAATTAGTTCCAAAAGATGAATTCCACTGGGCTTCAGTATCCTTAATCTATGAAATAAAGAGATTGAAATACATATTTTCCTCTTTCAAATTCTGTGAGCTCATATACCTATGCAAATTGTAGCAGAAGCTCATATACCTATACAAATTGTAGCAGCAGGAAACACGTTTGTTATACTGTTGAAATTGAAGCTCCAATTGAAGATATCACTTCTCCGACAAAAATAAATAAATTGAGGCAAAAATAAATTGAAATTCCAGGTTGTCTGTTTTATTATGTTCATCTTTTACTTGGTTATTTTGGAGATTTTTTTTGTAGAGAAATTTCTGAATTTAGGTTGTTTATTCTAATAGTAGGATATGAATGTGTAGAAGTTGTATAGGGGATATGTGGATCTACAGCCTTATTTGGTGATTCTGAAAACTGCAGAGGTTGGTATCTGTGAGTGAAAGAGAGTAAATAGTGATAGGTGAATCAGATTTTGAATCCCAAAATGGAAATTAATGATCTTGGGACTAAAAATGTATGTTGAATCAAGCTTTTTATAAAATGTGAATCTTTTTTTTTTTTTTAGGTGGAGTTTTGCTCTTGTTACCCAGGCTGGAGTGCAATGGCGTCATCTCTGCTCACTGCAACCTCCGCCTCCTGGGTTCAGGCAGTTCTCCTGCCTCAGCCTCCTGAGTAGCTGGGATTACAGGCACGCACCACCATGCCCAGCTAATTTTTTGTGTTTTTAGTAGAGACGGGGTTTCACCATGTTGACCAGGATGGTCTCGATCTCTTGACCTCGTGATCCACCCCCCTCGGCCTCCCAAACTGCTGGGATTACAGGCTTGAGCCCGGCTAAAATGTGAATCTTGAAAGTATTTAGATAAGTGGCATCTTACCTATTTTTTTTGCAGAATTTTTCTCCACCTTATCAGTAATTGACCTTCCCTAGGCAATAAGTGACATGTCATTGGTATTTCTTTGGATTCTATAATAAAAATGGTTATTGCTTCTAATTAATTTCGCTATTACTACTTTTATATGATTACGTGTGTAATCTTTCAGTTATTTTTTAGAGACAGTAGCTTAATATTTTGCCGTGCTAAAAAATAGCAATAGTTTGTGAAATAGCAACGTTAACTAAAGCAGTAAGTAAAAGAGAATTTAAGCAAGTATATTACTAATCTAAAGCCATAATTTTTAAAAAATTGAATTGAACTGTAGATTTCTCTACTCCCTAGTTCTGTCAGAGCTGCACTGCATGATTTACATAGCAAACTGCTATACGATATTTAATTTGGTCAAAAACTTTTATGGCTGACGGATGCTTGAAAACCACAATTCTAAAACTTCTTGTCTAAACTTTAAAGGTACGATTTTAAAAATGTATAAATGCATCCTCATATATATAAGTCATTAAGGATTTTCTCTGATAATCTTTGTGATTTCTTAGTAAAGTAAAATGGAGAGTAAGGAAGTAGAGGAATTTGGGGATGGAGAAGAGAAAGATGTAAAGTAAGTTTGTGCTAATGGGGCCAAATTTTATATAGGTCAAATAGCATTTTTTAGTACAAATATAAAGACTTTTCAGTCACACACTATGGTTGAATATCTTTAAGTATTCTGTTAAATTAGGACTGTGACTTGTGTAAAATAATTGGATTTTTTTTTTTCAATATTGCATCAGGAGTATTATGTGCTTTTGATTTCAGGAAAGAAAAACAAATAAGAAGCGTAGAAGAAGAAATTGAACAGGAAAAACAAGCAGCAGATGACATTATCAAAAATATGTCTCTTGAAAACCAAGTCAAGTACCTGGAGATGAAAACCACAAATGAGAAACTATTACAGGTGATAGCAATTCCTACTGTGTGCCAAGCACATATCAGTCTTGCTACTAAAAGTATAGTTTAAATGTCAGCAGCATCAGCATCCCGTGAGCACTTGACTAGACTTTGAGATCAGAGTTTTCATTTTAACAGGGTCCCCAGCTGATTCATACAGACATTCATATTTGAGAAGTATTTATTTAGAAAACGTAATTTTCTTACACTGCTTGACGACCTAGCTTTTACTCTAATTATTTTTTGTTCACTTCCGTTTATTCATTTTGCATTTCATAAAGATGCATGAAATACTTGCATTTATTAAAAATACTTGTCTAGGCCGGGCGCGGTGGCTCACGCCTATAATCCTAGCACTTTGGGAGGCCGAGGCGGGTGGATCACGAGGTCAAGAGATCGAGACCATCCTGGTCAACAAGGTGAAACCCTGTCTCTACTAAAAATGGAAAAATTAGCTGGGCACAGTGGTGCATGCCTGTAGTCCCAGCTACTCAGGAGGCTAAGGCAGGAGAATCGCTTGAACCCAGAAGGCGGAGGTTGTGGTGAGCCGAGATCGTGCCATTGCACTCCAGTCTAGGTAACAACAGCGAAACTCCGTCTCAAAAAAAAACTTGTCTATAAATACTTGCACTTATAAAAATACTTGCCTATAAATTTTAAAAGTCTATGACGTATGAGGCCTTTTAACATTTTAATGCAATCATTAAGAGGCATCATAGGTCACAGGTGGAGGTTGCAGTGAGCCGAGATTGCACCACTGCACCACTCCAGCCTGGGTGATAGAGTGAGACTCTGTCTCCAAAAAAAAAAAAAAAAAGCCCTCATAGACCAGATCCATATGGATATTTACTTTTTTTCCTTTTCCTTCCTGCTTAACAAACAGCTAACCTTTTAATCTGTTAGCACTCTGATTTGAATGACTATTGTCTTTTAATTATATTGCTTAAATATCCATTTTTAAAAATTAATTTTTTTGTTGATACACAACAGTTGTACATGTATTTATGGGGTACATGTGATCTTTGCATGCATGTATACAATGTGTAATGATCAAATCAGGATAATTAGGATATCCATCACCTCGATCATTAGCATTTTTTTGTTCTAGAAACATTTTAAATCTCCTCTTCTAGCTATTTTGAAACATACAATAAACTATTGATAACTGTTGCCACCCTACTGTTCTATGAAATATGAGAATTTATTCCTTCTCTCTCCCTCCACTGCCCCATGCTCCCAACTGGGCAACACCTTAACAGCCTCTGGTAACCATCATTCTACTACCTCCATGAGATCCACTTTTTTAAGCTCCTACATAGGAATGAGAACATGCAATATTAAATGAGCAGTGTAGGTCCCTGCTGAGGGGATGAGAATCCTCTCAGTGCTCAGTCGTGATGGTCCTTTTTTTATGCCCAGATGGCCCTTAACTAAAGAGTAAGCAAAGAATTAGGCCCCATAAATGCCAATAATGATTATAGTTTTAGTTTCTCAGACATTCCTTTGCTGACAATTTAGTAACCTTTTTATTTTAGACTAGATTTCTAAGATGCAGTGAAGCATTGAAGAAACAGTATGATAAAAATGCCAAAATACTACCAAAATGTAGTTAATCTTGTATGGGATGATGAATGAGTAAACAGTTTAAGGATCTTATCCTACAAGTGAACCATGGCCAGGCGCAGTGGCTCACGCCTGTAATCCCAGTACTTTGAGAGGCCGAGGCAGACGGATTATGAGGTCAAGAGATCAAAACCATCCTGGCCAACATGGTGAAACCCCATCTCTACTAAAAATACAAAAATTAGCCGGCTGTGGTAGAACATGCCTGTAGTCCCAGCTACTTGGGAGGCTGAGGTAGGAGAATTGCTTGAACCGGGAGGCGGAGGTTGCAGTGAGCCAAGATCGCACCACTGCACTCCAGCCTGGCGACAAAGCAAGACTCTGTCTCACCAAAAAAAAAACAAAAAAACAACAACAAAAAAAACTGAACCATGTTTATATTTACATATATAGTATAGAGAAATTAGGCCAAAGATAAGAATACATGGTTAAAAATTAAAATTTTAAATCATAACTTCAAACAATGATATAGCTTGAAAGCTTCTAATATTTTATGTTCTCAGAACATAGTGTGATTCACTGTGAAAAGGTTTAAGGTCTAGCTACTTTTGAGAAACTCATGAAGTTTTTTTTTTTTTTGAAGGCTAGTTTTTAGGAATAATGAAAGAAGTTGGGAAAAGTGGAAATAATGAAGTGTTAATAAATTCTATTCAAAATGCAAGATACCGTGAAGATACTTAGAAAGTTTACTTTGTCACATCTATATTTGAAATGTTGAGAAATAGAGAAACAAATTATTATTTTTTCTTCACCCCCCTTCTCCCAACTACAACAAATTAGTCTTAATGTAATTTGTATTTAGGTTTGCTTTTTTTTTTCCACTTAGGAATTAGATACACTTCAACAACAACTGGATTCACAGAACATGAAAAAAGAGAGCCTGGAAGCTGTAAGTATAAAATCAAATAAGGGTTCTCATACTACTCAACCAAAAATGTTAATTCAGCCAAGTATATTAATATAACTCATTCAAGTACATATTTATCTGGCAGTTTACTAATAGGAGTTTAATACTTTTTCTTCCTATTCTGGACCATAAAGATCCTAGTATGGTAAGAAATTAGATTCAGTTATTCAGGACCTACTATGCATAAAACAAATCATTCTGCCCTATCTGGGACATGCAAAATCCAATGTCAATTAATTTTTTTTTTTTTTTTTTTTTGAGACAGGGTCCTTCCCTGTCACTCAGGCCAGAGTTTAGTGACATGATCATATAGCTCACTATAAATTCAAGTTCCTGGGCTCAAGGGATCCTCCCTCCACATCTTCCCAAGTAGCTAGGACTTTAGGCAGGAACCTGGCTACTTTTTATTTTACTTTTTGTAAAGATGGGGTCTTGCTATGGCTGGTCTGCAGCTTCCGGCCTCAAGTGATGCTCCTGCCTTGGCTTCCCAAAGTGCTGGGATTACAGGCATGAGGCATTGTGCTCAACTTCTAATGGCAATTTAAAGACACATACCCAGGAGACTAAAAACAAAGGAAGAAGGAGAGACATGAACACGAGTTCATCTCTTTAAGGATGTAAAAACTTGCATTTGTCAGGAGATAGCTGTGCTTTACCTTTGCTGCAGCTCATTCCTTTACAATAAAAGTTTCTGTGACTTAAAAAAAAACAAACTTGCGTTTGTTTTCTTATTCATTTATTTAAAACAAGTTTTAATTCACAAAACAAAATGTGCTTATGGTTTAAAAATAGTTGAACAAGATGAAAGTAAAAATGTCTGTTTTGTGTCCTTCTTTCCTGATAGAACTACTGGAAAGACATTATCAAGTGTTACTCTATGCTTTTTTGAGCTCTTAACACATATCAGCATCATATTCATGTAATCCCCACAAAGTTCTAAATCCATCTTGATTTTACAGTTTGGAAAACCTCAAGTGGGATTCATACTTGCTATGCTATCTGTAGGTTTTTTTCACCCTAACATGATATCTTCAGTGCCTGTTTATATCAGTTCTTAGAGAACCCCCTCATTATTTTAAATTACTATATTATGTTGTATAATTATAACACAGCCTTGTAAATGAACAGATTGTTTATAGTTTTCTGGGATTATAAACAATACTTCAGTGAAAGCATACATTTTATGCAAAGTTGCATTAGTATTTCAGAATATTGAATTCTCACAATGGGTCAAAAGGTATACACTTTAAAAATGTTGTAAGATTGCCAAATTGCCTTCAATGTGAAAGCTTATTTCCCCTGCATTCACGGACAGCAAATATTACCTGGCTTTTCCAATTTTAGCTAGTTTGATAGGTAAAAATTACTAACTTATTTTAATTTTCACGTGTTTACGCGTAAAGTTGAGTATCTGTTTATGTCATCTTTGGCCAATGAATTTCTTTTTCCGTGAACTCCTTTTTCATATTTTTGGCATTTAAGTATACTGTCTGTACCTCAGATCTTGCCTCCCTTTCCTGATTTCCTGAGGATTCAGGTGTATACCATGATGATAGTATTAGGAACTGTTGTAGATGGACAGATTGCTAACAGCCTAGCTTGCAAAAGAAATGAATATTTTGTAATTAATTCTTTTGAGAATTTGCTATTGAAAGTTATTTCATTAAAAATAGGTAGTTTTCTGTGTTTGATTGTCCATCTATAAATGCACTTCATTTTTATTTCCTTGGATCTCTGGTGATGGAAAAATGCCTAAAGAAAAAAGGACCACATTTAGTATTAATACAACTAGCTTGCTGAACTCTTCACTGTTCCCTTTTGGGGTAGGTGTGAGTCAAGTCTTATTTCACTTGTGAATTTAGTTTCCACAGGAAGAAGCATAAGCTATAAACTTAGATTTACTTTTTGTACTGATGCCACTCTTCTTTGATGTCAGTAGATTTATGCCTAAAATAACAAAGAGTTTTAAAAATACACAATATTTGGCCAGGCATGGTGATTCACGCCTGTAATCTCAGCACTTTGGGAGGCGGAGGTGGGAGGATCACGAGGTCAGAAGATTGAGACCATCCTGGCTAACATGGTGAAACAAAAAATTATCCAGGTGTGATGGCACGCGCCTGTGGTTCCAGCTACTCAGGAGGCTGAGACAGGAGAATCTCTTGAACCCGGTAGGCAGAGGTTGCAGTGAGCTGAGATCCCATGTCTGCATTCCAGCCTGGGCAACAGAATGACACTGTCTCAAAAAAAAAAAACCAAAAAACCAAAAACAATATTTGCAAATTGAGATAACATAAGTCACTAATTCTATTTAACTTTTGCCAGATTTCTTTTTTTGAGGGGGGATGAAGTTTTGCTCCTTTGCCCAGGCTGGAGTGCAGTGGTACAATCTCGGCTCACTGCAACCTCTGCCTCCCAGGTTCAAGCAATTCTCCTTCCTCAGCCTCCTGAGTAGCTGTGATTATAGGTGTGTATCGCCACACTTGGCTAGTTTTTGTATTTTTAGTAGAGACGGGATTTCACCATGTTGGCCAGGCTGGTCTCAAATTCCTGACCTCATGATTTGCCCGCCTCAGCCTCCCAAAGTGCTTGGATTGCAGACGCGAACCACCGTGCCCAGCTCAGATTAATTTTATTTATTTATTTATTTATTTATGACTTGTTCTTCAAGAAAATATTGTTTCAGATAGTGGTCAGTCAACTGGTATTTATTGAATACTTTATGCTCACTGCTTTACAGTGTATTTGGTTATGCTTACTTAGTTCACAAGAGTGGGGAAAAAAATCAGGTGAAGGCATGAGCTGAAGTCTTCCAGAATAGTTTTATCAAGATGCAATTCAAATACATCTGGAGGATTGTTAGGCAGAAAGGAAAAGATACTATGAAAAAGGATAGCATAAAATTCTATATGTATTTTTTATCATGCCTTTCTTTATGTTATCTGATGCCTAATCTATTATTTGAACTATATATATAATCCATTGCTTATGGATTTTCAAAAATTCTTGTCTACTTGTTTCTTTTTTTGAGATTTTTTTTCTTTCATACTTTTAAAAAAGAAGAGATCTTCCCTCTTAAAAATTTGGTCTTGTTCAGCCAGGCACGGTAACTCACGCCTGTAATCCCAACACTTCGGGATGCTGAGGCGGGCAGATCACTTAAGGTCAGGAATTTGAGACCAGCCTGACCAATATGGTGAAACCCCGTCTCTACTAAAAGTACAAAAATTAGCCGGGTGTGGTGGCAGGTGCCTGTAATCCCAGCTACTCGGGAGGTTGAGGCAGGAGAATCGTTTGAACCCTGGAGGTGGAGGTTGCAGTGAGCTGACATGTTGCCACTGCACTCTAGCCTGGGAGACAAGGGTGAGACTCTGTCTCAAGAAAAAAAAAAAAATTGGTCTTGTTCATGCTCTAGGTCTGGTTTCAAATGTCACTGTTAACTCTATGTATTTGTTAACTTTGAAAAGTTATTTACATGTCAGATCCTCAGTTTCCTCATCTGTAAAATGGAGATGATAGTGCTATCTTGTAGAGTATCACTTTGGATATGAGAGATAGCATATAAATAACATGTAGCATAGTGTCTGACATAGAACAGGTGCTCAGTAAACAAGAGTTTCAAATGTCATTTTAATCATCATCACCACCATTCCTAGCTTTTTTGTTATCTAATAATATTTTTGTCACATCCTTATTTTTTCTTTGTGGAAGGTAGGATAGTGCTGAGTACACGATAACTGTTATTACATGTGTTAATTTCCTAATGCTTCTCTAACAGGATATCACAAACTGGGTGGCTTAAAACAAACAAACACATTTTCTCACAGTTCCAGAGCCTGGTAGTCTGAAATCAAAGTGTCAGCAGAACATGCTTCCTCTATGAGACTCTAGAAAGAATATTGCTCTGCTTCTTCCTAGCTTCTAATGGTGTCCATCAGCCCTTGATGTTGCTTGATTTGCAGATGCATCACTCTAGGCTTTGCCTGAGTCATAACGTGGAATTCTCCTGTTGTGTCTGTACTCTTCTTATAAAGGGCACCATCATATTGGATTAGGGCCCACCCTAATGACCTCATCTTAATGTGACTAAATATGCAAAGAGCCTATTTCCAAATAATGGTCAGATTGACAGGTTTATGATGTTAAGACTCCACCTTACCTTTTTCAGCAGACACAATTCTACCCACAACATTGTGGAAAAATACATGTTAAGACCTATTTAGGGGAAAATATGTTCTCTACAACACTTCTATGGACTTTGAATCAGACATTGTGTTTAAAGTTGTACATGATTCCGGAAGTTGCTATCAGAGGCAGCGTGCGAGTGTGCTCCTTGTGAAATTCCACCATGGCGTACCGTGGCCAGGGCCAGAAAGTGCAGAAGGTTATGGTGCAGCCCATCAACCTCATACTTACAAATAGATCGCAGATTCAGGTGTGGCTCTATGAGCAAGTGAATATGCGAATAGAAGGCTGTATCATTGGTTTTGATGAGTATATGAACCTCGTATTAGATGATGCAGAAGAGATTCATTCTAAAACAAAGTCAAGGAAACAACTGGGTCGGATCATGCTAAAAGGAGATAATATTACTCTGCTGCAAAGTGTCTCCAACTAGAAATGATCAGTGAAGTGAGAAATGGTTGAGAAGGATACATTTTGTTTTTAGATGTCCTTTGTCCAGTGTGAACATTTATTCATATTGTTTTGCTTGCCCTTATGTTATTACAAGATGTCAATAAATGCTATGGGATTGTTTGTATTAATAAAAATAAATAAATAAATAAAAAATAAAGTTGTACATATGTTGTAACATTTTCTTTATTCTCCCATTGGTACAGTTTCCTATATTTATTCAGATCTTATATGTAGAAAATAAACTAAGGCTGTCGACTTCTTGTGAACCTTAGACTGAAAATAGCTTATTAAAATATACAGGGTTTATTTTTATATTTCCAGTTTAGGAATGTGCTTTGTAGCATTATTGAGTACTAATGGCATTTGTTGTCTGTATTTAAAGATGCTGGGTAGTTTAAATTTACCCCCTATTCTTATAAATTGAAACCTATTTGAAAATAATTATTGATAAAATACTAATTAAAAATTTCCCTTCTTGTTTTCCTTTAGGAAATAGCTCACTCCCAGGTGAAACAGGAGGCTGTATTGCTACATGAAAAACTTTATGAGCTGGAGTCCCATCGAGATCAAATGATTGCAGAAGACAAAAGCATAGGGTCTCCAATAGAAGAGAGAGAGAAATTACTTAAGCAGGTGGGTAAAGAAAACATACTTATTTTAAGATGTCTGGTTTTGGTACATGTGTTGATTCTGTTTTATTTACGGGATATGAATTCAACCACAAGCTACTAAGTTTATGTCTAAAAATGGTTTATGTGAAGAAGTAACTTTTTAATCTAGATTTCCGTTTTTTGGTTTTTTTTCTTTTTTTTTTTTAATGCAGGGTCTCACTATGTCACCCAGGCTGCAGCATAGTGGTGCAGTTGTTGGGGTTCAGGGGTTCAGGGAAGCCCTCAGCTTCCCCGAGAGAATGTTTCTCCAGGTTCTTGGTCTGTCGCTCTCTCAAGAATGAGAGAGGAGACCACGGCGCAGTGTGCTTGTGCAATAAATACCAGAACCCAGACGTGTTTCAGAAAAGTGATTTATTTAGGTAGAGAGAGAAAAAGGAGGAGGAGCGAGAAACAGCTAGTTTCTCATGCACTGAATGAGAGAAAGAAAAGCCGCTCTCACACTGAGTGAGAAGAGTTCTCAGCGGGAGAAAACCAGAGAAGGAAAACTCCCCTCACACTGAGGGAGAGAATCCGGAAAGATAGAATCCAGGAAAGGAAAGACAGCTTCCACACTGGGTAGAAGGGGACCCCAGAGGGGAAATCCAGGAAGGGAAAGAGAGCTCCCACTATGTGGAGCGGAGCTGGAAATCTGGTGTGGATGAAGGAGCAGGGGGATTTATCCTGGGAGAAATTCCCACCTCCCCAAGTTCCTCTGGCCAATGAAAGGAGTTCCTTTAAACTTCCGCTGGGGTGATTGACTCAGTTTCTTCCTGTGCCTGTGAAATTTAAACATAAACCGTTAAATCTCCCAGATGGAGAGAGATGGGAGTGGGGCATGGTGCTGGGAAGTTCTTACCCTTAAAACTACACCCCCTTGTCGACCTGTAAAGGCAACACATTCCTTCACAATCATAGCTCACTGTAGCCTTGAGCTGCTGGGCTCAAGCAATCCTCCACCTTAGCCTCCCGAGTAGCTGGGACTGTAGGCATGCGCCACCACACCAATTTTTTATTTTTATTTTTTGTAGAGATGGAGTTTTGTTGTGTTGCCTAGGCTGGTCTCAAGCTCCTGGCCTCAAGCAGCGCTCCTTCTTCAGCCTCTCCAAGTGTTGGTATTATAGGCACCCAGCCTAGATTTTCTTAATCAAGTATTTCATACTAACTTAAGTAAAGCTAACGTTTCCTTGTTAGACATAGTTGACACTCTTCTTTATTGGTCATTAAATATTAAGATAATTTTTTTGGAGATATGTTTTATTATTTGTATTGGGCAAAAACTTGTATTTAGAAAATGGTGTATCCCAAGGCTGATGCCTTTTTTTTTTTTGAGACAGTCTCGCTCCATCGCCAGGCACCAGTCTGGAGTGCAGTGGTGCAATCTCAGCTCACTGCAACCTCCGCCTCCCGGGTTCAAGCAATTCTCTTGCCTCAGCCTCTTGAGTAGCTGGGACTACAGGTGCGGGCCACCACGCCCAGCTAATTTTTGTATTTTTGTAGAGATGGGATTTCACCGTGTTGGCCAGGATGGTCTCGATCTCTTGACCTCGTGATCAGCCCGCCTGGGCTTCCCAAAGTGCTGGGATTACAGGCGTGAGCCACTGCGCCCAGCCGGCTGATGACTTTTTGTGGTTGTTATTATTAGTACCTCCACGAAAAGAATGGTATTAACATTTCCTATGAAATTATCATATGTCCTAAAGTCATGTCACATGTAACATGTATTTAGTAGCTATCTTAGCACCCCAAGGGTGGCTTTAGCTTAACTTTAAATTATAATTAGCGTGCTGTTTATCCTGACACATTCTATTACGGCCTCAGGAGAACTCCACATATATTTGGGCACATGCCCAGTCAGGGACTCCTTTCTCCCTAGACTTAGATCAAGGCCAGTGCATTTAGAAGAAATGTAGGGATCAATTCAGGGACTATTTAATTATTAGAATCATTCCAGAAAGGTACTAACATCTAGAACCGGTGTGGTTCGTTGGAAAGAAATCATTGAAGGCTGAGGAGGAGTGATCTTGTGGTATAGCTACCACATAAAATATAGAATGGCTACCTAAATTTGAATTCCAGATAAGCAATGAATAATCTTTCAGACATATATATCTATATCTATATAGAAAAATTATTCATTGTTTATGAGTGATATGGATATTCCAAATGTTACATGGTACATATATCCCCTAAAAGATACTCACTATCTGAAATTCAAATTAAGCTGTGCTTGCTCAATCTAGCAACCTTACCTTGTGGGAGAGTGTGGGGGAATCTCAGAAATCCTAGATGTTTGTATCAACTTATCCAGGCCTGAGGTTGTGCTGGCCTGATGGTGCCTGGAGGGTAGGTATATCAGTTACTACCCTTACTTTGAGGAAAAGCGATAGAATCTTTGAATGGTTGCTTGGTGCCGTTCCCTTTAACTTCAAAGGTTGAAGTCTTAAAAATTAGATTTCAAGAAAGAAACTGGATTTGACACTTTTGTACAATGTTCTGTGGAAGGAAATTGTCTTTAAGATTGCCTTAATATGAGTTATTTTTTAAAATACTGCTTCCTTTTTATGCCTTTATAGGTTAAAGATGATAATCAGGAAATAGCCAGCATGGAAAGACAGTAAGTAGCTTTATACTAGAACATGTTACATCCACTTCTCACTTTAAAAATTACATTCCGAAGGTACAAGAGTGGCTCTTACTCTTTCAGTTTTGCTTATATCTTTAAATATTTATTTGTTTAAGAGCCATTCCATAGTATAATTATTTTTAATAAATAGCTTTATTAAGATATACTTTATACCATATAATAGACATATTTAAACATTTTAAAGCTTGTTATTAGTATATTCACAGAAGTGTGCAACCATCACCTCAATCATCTTTATTTTTAAATTTTTATTTACTTTTATTTTTTTGAGACCAGCTTTCACTCTGCCACTCAGACTGGAGTGCAGGTGGCATGATCTTAGCTCACGGTAACCTCAAACTCCTGGGCTCAAGCGATTCTCCCATCTCAGCCTCCTGAGCAGCTAGGACGACAGGCACACACCACCATATCTGGCTAATTTATTTTTATTTTTAGTAGAGCTGAGATCTTGCTACATTGCCTGGGCTAGTCTCCAGTTCCTGACCTCAAGCGATCCTCCCATCTCAGCCCCCCAGAGAGCCGGAATTACAGGTTTGAGCCAGTATGCCAGGCCCCCAGTTGATTTTTGAACAATTTAGTCAGCCCAATAAAACCCTTACATTCTTTAACCATCACCTCTCTTATCCATCTCCCAGCTCTGGTCATGCCTGTTCTGGACATTTCATATAAACGGAATCATTCAAGAAGTGCTTCTGTGTGGCAGGATGCTTTCACTTAGCATGGTGTTTTCAAGGGTCTTCTGTGAGCCTTGCTTTATCCAAGATCAGCTGACTGTCGGTATTTGGCTTATTTCTAGGTTCTCTATTCTGTTCCAAGGCTCATAGATGAACCTTGAAAACTAAGGCGAATGAAATATTATTTGGAAATAAAAATTAATAAAATACCAAGCATGTATTAGTATTTTACTAATTCATCATGCTACTGTGAACATCCCTGTACAAGTTTTTATATGGACATATGTTTTCACTTGTATATATACACCTAGGAGTGGAATTGCTGACTCATGTTGTTCTCTATGTTTAACTTTTGAAGAACTGCCAGACTTTTCCAAAACAGCTTTACCATTTTACATTTCATTTTTTTGTATTTGAATACATTTATTTGAAATTTTTAAAACAATCATTTTACTACCGGTCACCAGAAAGCATACCAATTATTTTAATTTTATTTATTCATTTATTTTATTTTATTTTTTTGAGACAGAGTCCCGGTTTGTCACCCGGGCTGGAATGCAGTGGTGCAGTTTTGGCTCACTGCAACCTCTTCGTCCTAGGTTCAAGGGATTTTTGTGGCTCAGCCTCCTAAGTGGCTGGGACTACAGGCATATGCCACCATGCCTGGCCAAAATTGTTTAAATTTTAATTAACTAAGTTGTAAATTAATAAGTAGTCAATGACAGAATTGCCTTTTAATGTTTCTCATATCTATTGCAATGTTTTTGTTGCTGATTACAACTTTAGAAATTAAATTTTGGAATTACAATCTCTACTATGAGCTGAATTGCAGACCACATTTTAAGTCTTTTGCAATACTGGCTAAGGTACTGAGAAACTAATGTTTTTGTTTTGTTTTGTTTTGTTTTCTGTTACTTTGTAACTGTAAGCAAATTTCCATATTATTATGGCTAAGAGAAGATTTTTTTGTTTTGTTTTGAGACAGAGTCTCACTCTGTCACCAGGCTGGAATGCAGTGGCATGATCTCGGGTCACTGCAACCTCTGCCTCCCGGGTTCAAGTGATTCTCTTACCTCAGCCTCCCGAGCAGCAGGGATTACAGGCATGTACCAGGCATGTACCACCACGCCCAGCTAATTTTTGGATTTTTGTAGAGATGGGGTTTCACCATGTTGGCCAGGATGGTCTCAATCTCCTGACCTCATGATCCGCTCACCACGACCTCCCAAAGTGCTGGGATTACAGGCGTGAGCCACTGTGCCTGCCGAGATTTTTTTAAAGGAACATTTAGAATAGCTTTATTTTATCTTTTTTATCTCAACAGTTTTTGGAGAACAGATGGTATTTGGTTACATGGATAGGTTCTTTAGCGGTGATTTCTGAGATTTTGGTGCATCTATCACCCAACCCAGTGTCCACTCTACCCACTGTGTAGTCTTTTATCCCTCACCCCTCTCACTCTTCCCACCAAGTCCGCAGAGTCCATTGTATCATTCTTACGACTTTGCATCCTCATAGCTTAGCTCCCACTTATAAATGAGAACGTACAATGTTTGGTTTTCCATTCCTGAGTTACTTCACTTAGAATAACTGTCTCTGATTCCATCTAGGTTGCTGTGAATGCCATTATTTTGTTCCTTTTTATGTCTGAGTAGTATAAATATATACACACACTCACACATACATACCACATTTTTTTTTTTTTTTTTTTGAGACGGAGTTTCGCTCTTGTTCCCCAGGCTGGAGTGCAATGGCGAGATCTCGGCTCACCACAACCTCCACCTCCTGGGTTCAGGCAATTCTCCTGCCTCAGCCTCCTGAGTAGCTGGGATTACAGGCACCTGCCACCATGGCCAGCTAATTTTTTGTATTTTTTAGTAGAGACGGGGTTTCACCATGTTAACCAGGATAGTCTCAATCTCTTGACCTCGTGATCCACCCGCCTCAGCCTCCCAAAGTGCTGGGATTACAGTCGTGAGCCACCGCACCCGGCCATACCACATTTTCTTTACCCACTTGTTGATTGTTGTCCTTTTGGCTGTTTCCATATTTTTGCAATTACAAATGGGGCTGCTATAAACATGCATGTGCAAGTGTCTTTTCATATCATGACTTCTGTTTCCTCTGGGTAGATACCCACTAGTGGGATTGCTGGATCAGATGGTAGATCTACTTTTAGTTCTTTAAGGAATCTCCATACTATTTTCCACAGTGGTTGTACTACTTTATATTTCCACCAGCAATGTAAAAGTGTTCCCTTTACACCACATCCATACCAACATCTATTACTTTTTTATTTTTTAATTAATGGCCATTCTCGTAGGAGTAAGGTGGTATTACATTGTGGTTTTGGTTTGCATTTCCCTCATAATTGATGATGTTGAGGTTTTTTCCATATGATTGTCGACCATTTGTATATCTTTTTTTTTTTTTTTTGAGACGAAGTCTTGCTCTCGTCTCCCAGGCTGGAGTGCAGTGATGCAATTTCGGCTTACTACAACCTCTGTCTCCTGGGTTGTAGTGATTCTCCTGCCTCCCCAGTAGCTGGGATTAGAGACACCTGCCACCATGCCTGGCTAGTTTTTGTATTTTTAGTAGAGACAGGGTTTCACCATGTTGGCCAGGCTGGTCTCAAACTCCTGATCTCAGGTGATCTGCCCACCTCAGCCTCCCAAAATGCTGGGATTACAGGCATGAGCCATCACACCTGGTTGTGTATCTCTTTTTGAGAATCATCTATTCATGTCCTTAGTCTACGTTTCACTTTTTTATGGGATTTTTTTTGTCTTGCTGACTTGAGTTCATCGTAGATTCTTGATATTAGTCCTTCCTCAGATGCACAGTTGATGAATGTTTTCTCCCACTTTATGGGTTGTCTGTTAACTCTGCTGATTATTTCTTTTGCTGTGCAGAAGTTTTTTAGTTCAATTAGGTCCCATCTATTTATTTTTGTTTCTGTTGTGTTTCCTTTTAGATTCTTTTCAGCTCATGAAGTCTCAATGTCTAGAAGGGTTTTTCTGATGTTACCTTCCAGAATTTTTATGGTTTCAGGTCTTAGATTTAAGTCTCTGATCCATCTTGAGTTGATTTTTGTGTAAGGTGAGAGATAAGGATCCAGTTTCATTTTTCTATGTGTGGCTTGCCAATTGTCCCAGCACCATTTGTTGGATAGGGTGTCCTTTCCCCACTTCATGCTTTAGTTTGCTCTCTCAAAGATCAGCTGAGTGTCAATATTTGACTTTATTTCTGGGTTCTCTATTCTGTTCTATTGGTCCATGTACCTGTTTTTATGACCGATACAATACTGTTTTGGTGACCATATAGTCCTTATAGTATAGTTTGAAGTTGGATAATGTGGTCCCTCCAGATTTGTTCTTTTTGCTTAGTCTTATTTTGGCTATGCAAGCTCATTTTTGGTTCCATGTGAATTTTAGGATTGTTTTTTCTAGTTCTGTGAAGAATAATGATGGTGTCTTGATGGGAATTGTGTTGAATTTGTAGATTTCTTTTGGCATTATGGTCATTATCACAATGTGGATTCTAGCCATCCATGAGCATTGAATATGTTTTCATTTGTTTGTGTCATCTATTATTTCTTTCAGCAGTGTTTAGTTTTCCTTGTTTTTCACCTTCTTGTTTAGGCATATTCCTAAGTATTTTATTTTGTTTTTGCAGCTATTGTAAAAAGAGTTGAGTTGTTGATCTCTTTGTCAGCTTGGTTGCTGTTGGTGTATAGCAGTGCTACTGGTTTGTATCCATTGATTTTGTATCCTGAAACTTTACTGAATTCGTGTATCAAATCTAGGAGTTTTCTGGATGAATCTTGAGGGTGTCCTAGGTATATGATCATATCATCAGCAAGCAGTGACAGTTTGACTTCCTCTTACCAACATAGATACCCTTGATTCATTTCTATTTTCTGATTGCTCTGGCTAGGACTTCTCGTACTGTGTTGAATAGAAGTGGTGACAGTGGCCATCCCTGTCTTGTTTCAATTCTCAGGGGGAATGCTTTCAACTTTTCCCCATTCAGTGTAATGTTGGCTGTGGGTTTGTCATATAGATAGCTTTATTACTTTAAGATATGTCTCTTCTGTGCTGATTTTGCTGAGGGTTTTGATCATAAAAGGATGCCGGATTTTGTCAAAAGCTTTTTCTGCATCTATTGAGGTGATCATTTTATTTTTGTTTTAATTTTGTTTAACTGGTGTATCAAATTTTTTTGACCTGTGCATGTTAAAGCATCCCTGCATCTCTGCTGTAAAACTCACTCGACCATGATGGATTATCTTTTTGA